TCAGCAGTTGGGGCAGCATGGGGTGGGGCCTGGAGTGTGCACCATGGGTGCGGACACGCCCACCACGCACCTCCCCCAGCAGACCCAACAGAGAAGGAAAAAAACGCAGGACGTGCAGGAATTTAGGCGGTTGCTTGCAATGTGGGGACAAAAATGTTCTTGAGGGCGGGGTAGCGGGGGCAGCGGCATTAGCAAGGAGCAAATGACAGATTATTCTTGGAGGGGGGGTAGCAGGGGGCAGCGGCATTAGCATGGCCAAATGATAGCTGTGTAGGGGGCAGTGTGGGAATGAAACAGTGGGCGGCTCAGCACAAATCGGTGGGGCTGGCAAACCTGACTTGAACCGAGAGAAAGGTCAGCAGTATTGCTGGAGATTTGCAATGCAACGGCGGCAGTGGACTGATAGGGAAGAGTGGCAGCCAGCTGCGACACTCACGCCTGCAGCAGGCGGCGGTCGCTGGACCGCTTCTTCTTCTTCTTGTTCTTCTTCTTGTTCTTCTTCTTCTCGCTGTCGTTGTCTGCACGGTGCAGGAGGCGAGCGACGGTCTGTTGACACAGGGAGAGCTCTGCTGGTTTTGAAGTTCCGGTATTGCTGCAGCAGCCACTTTTGTGACAATTGGACAATTTGGACCGACCGTCATCGTCGCGGTCATCGTTGTTGTCCTCCTCGTTGTCCTCCTCATCCTTGTTGTCCTCCTGGTTGTTGCTGTCCTCCTCGTCCTCCTTGTTGTCCTCCTCATCGTTGTTGTTGTCCTCCTCATCGTTGTCTGAAGAGGAATTGTCGCCATCATCGTCATTTGACTCAGAGCTGTCCTCGGAGTCGTCGTCAGAGCGGGTGGAGGAGCCGCCGTCGCAGCTGCTCCACTCCCTGCGGTCAGGACTCGGGGGCCATGCTCAGCGCGGCAAAATGTAGGCAGGCAGGCAGCGGGGAACACCGGCCTCAGGCCGCATTGCTGGGGCGCATGCTGCACCCGGCAACGAGAGGCCCCCAGGCAGCGGCAGGAGAGGGACGCGCAAGGGGAGGAGGGAGAGACTGGCAGTGGTAGCGGCGGCGGCGTGGCGGCGGCTCACCACTCGATGCCCTTGCGGTCCCAGGAGAAGCCGGTGATGTCCTTGAGGGCGTCGATGGAGAAGTCGATGTCGCCTGCAGGCCAGGGAGGCACGCTGGCGCTGCGCTCAGCGTCCGTCTTCAGGGGAGAGGTTCCCGTCAGCCCTGCCCAGCTGCTTGCAGGTACGGCAGCCAGCTGGGCGCAACGCAAGGGGCCTTGCCCCACGCGGGAGCCAACAGACGGGCAGGCAGCCTCACCGTCTCCCCCGCAGGAGGCGCACTCGTCCACAATCATGACCTGCAACAGTGGGTGGGTGCAGTGGGTGCAGGGAGGGGAGTTCGCAGGCGCAGTGGGGAGGGGGGGAGAGCAAGGCGGGGCGGTGTCGCTCCATGCTGCTCTGATTGCACCCGGCGATGCTGCTTGGGCCGCAGGCCCGGCATTCCTGCCCTCCCCACTCACTGTGACCCAATCGCCGCTGGCGCCCTTCTCGGTGCCACGGGCGCGGATGCACTTGCCGCACTCAGAGCGGTCAAACAGCTGGGAGGGGCGCGCCGCATAGTAGCGCTCCCACCTGTCATCCAGCTTGCCGAACTGGCAGCTGTTGAATCCGGTGGCATCCTTGTCGTAGGCGCCTGCAGCAGCGGTGGGGGGGCAGGCAGGCGCGGTGATGGCGACAGGATTGCTGCGGCGGGGCATCCCAACTTTATTGGATGCATGTCAACAGCTTTTCTAGCCATGGCAAGGGCCTGAATATCTTGTTGACAAGTCCCATGTCAGACAGGACCAGGGTTGCGCTGGACGGGCAGGCATCCTCATGCCCCATGCACAGGCACCTGGACCATCAGGCTCACCAGAGTAGGCGGTCCCCATGCCGCGCTTGGCCTCCGCGGTGCCAATGCAGGCGAGCGCAAGCAGGCACAGGGCCGCAGACAGGCCAGCAGAGCGAAGCATGTTGGTGCAGGTGATGACCTGATGGTCTTCTGGCCGGCCCGCAACGGAGGCAACGCTTGATCGGGGCGCCAGGAATGGATGAAAGGGAATGGCGATGGTGCCAGACCGCCAAGCTAAATAGTCCTGTCTGCCTCAGTGAGTCTGTCTGATCCGACAGCTGGAGCTCCAGCCGTCCAGTCGCACCGAAACGCTGCATCCACTACAGCCGCAAGCCGCATTGGCCTACGGCTGCAGTTCTGGACGGTCGTGAACGGGAATTGGCAGGCTGGCTGTGTGCACACCTGTACGCCATTAGGCACCGCCGCCGCCGGCGCGCCACCGCCAGTGCCGGCCCTAGGGAGCGCACCCTCTACTCCCCTCTTGGGACCTTTCATGAGCCCACAGCAATGAATAGAGCTGGAAACGAATGCTAGCTAGCACTGGGCCTTGCCAACCACCCCCTAACCACCCCCGCTGACGGCAACGGCGGACCACCTGCCGCTCGTTTCTGCTTTGGGCCGATCCCTGGGCCACGGCCTTGCCTTCCCTACCACTCGATTCCACAGCAGTTCTCGAGGGCGCCAGTCCCCACCAATTCCGGGCAGATGGGGGTTGCACCATGCACCTGCATGCATGCAGAAGGGACTGCCATCCTCCTGCTGGCACCATCCTTCACACGCCTCTTGTCACTCATGGCCGGCATGCGGCACCTGGGGCACAATAAAGTGACTTTGATCCGCGCCATGGGGGCGCATCCTTGCGCAAGCCCGGCAGAACGACCTGGGGACGCTGCCGGCCGCACTCGCGGCGGCATAGCATTGGCGAAAGCCAGAGGGGCCTACGCGCCGCCGATCCGCCCAGCTGCCGGCCTCCGATGTGGCCGCAGGCGGCGTCAGCCCACGTCAGCCCCGTTTCACGCAATCGCTTTGGTGAGCCAAAGGCCACATGTTCGGGGCATCATCAGTTAGGCACGCTGCGCATCCAGCACGGCCACAGTCTCCACGTGCCACGTCTGCGGGAACAGGTCGCAGGGCTGCACCGACACGAGGCGGTATGGCGCTGCACCGCCGCCGCCGCCGCCGCCCCCGCATAGAAGCGCAATGTCCCGGGCCTGGG